AAGTATTCAGCGACTTGCGATTACAGATGAATGATCTCAGTTCTGACTTTTTATCTTGTGACTAACTCGTACGTACTTATAGCTTACGTCTGCAAATTACTAAAACATACGCTCTTGTACTGACTTCTCTTTAACCAAATCTCTTTCTACTGTAAACATGGTCATTTTCTTTAATTCTCCAAATATCACTATCATTGCTAATATAACTATAATCACCGTTTTTGATTTAACCCCGATTGTAATAATAATGTACAAATACGTAAAAAATTATAATAAAAGAATTTGAACTAATGAAGAAATGATATGCCTTGCATTGGTAACACGATTATTACGTGAGAACAATTTTGGAGGGTGCATACTGATAATCATTACGTGATAATCAACGATCACGTGGATTTCACCATCAGCCGATTTCACCATCAGCCGTGACAGTTATTATTGATTAGTATGATTACTCATGAATAAATTACTGTCGATTTCTAGTTTTACCACTAATATATTACTATTGCAATCACTTGTACGATGAAAGCAAATTCCACCAATGTTCGAATGATAAGAAAGGCCACTGAAGCAATTAAGAATAACAACGAAAGAGAACAAAAAAAAACCAAAGTAACAACGATAGTAAAATAAAAAGCAAAAAGTTATTACAACAAGCGCTTTAGAGCGAATGGCTTTTGTTTAACGTTTATAATGCGTTTACTTTAATTATGTACATTTCAATAATAGTATCGAACAAAGGAAGTTCTGTACCTTTAGTTAAGATATCTTCCTCATATTGAGACTTTTCTGTTCATGTTCAGCGTAACAAAATTAATTGTAAGCGACTGAGATAGTACAACGAATATCATAACAATGATATTTCATTGTTTAATGTTTATTCTATTAATATGTAATAGTAATATTATTAGTGGTAGAACTAGAAATTGACAGTATGAGTAGTAATTATAATCATACTAATCAATAATAACTATAGTTAGCAATGACGGGAGGTACTAATGCTAAGTCGATTATTGCTATCGATAAAATTCAACTAAGTCATGAGGATGTAAATCCCTATTTAGAAATTATCAGCAGAAGGTTCTCAATTAGGCTAGTCGAATCTAATTAGGAAATCAGTACGCTCCACAAACAATCTGCACATTACACAAAATTTTCAAGTCGCTCATTGGTTAATTGAGAAAATTTTGCTGAGGCTGCTGGGGTAGTTATACCCCATCGCCCCCACCGCTTCTCGACGTATTGGTATCACCTAACTCTATTGTTTCTGGCGAGTCTGTTACTCTTCCCATTGCCGGAACTGCGCCAATTGATATTCCCTTGGCATCCTTTTTTCAACAACGAGACAAATTATTCCGAGCGTTTGCTGACGATTTTTGTAAACTCTCTAAAGCATGTCCAGTCAAAAAAGATATTAAGTTCGAGTACACAGTTATTCCGGAAAATTTGCCTGATTCTTATTCCATTGACGTCTTTGTAGTGAACCTCGGCCTCCAACTAAATATGTGCGCTACGGCCACAGTCTGAGCTATCGCATATTTAGTTATATTTTTATTGGGTAGGTTTGTTTTGTCTTGTTTATATCAACTTATAGAATAATTTTCACCTTTTATTTATTTAGAAGAGTATATAGTATTGACAAATAATGACGACATCCAACAACATTTACTTTTTATGTCAAAAGTCAAGTAATACGTGTATAATAATAACGGTTTTAAGGTTACTGTTACGTACGTATTACTAACAAAAAGTTATGTATCGCATTTGTATCAATGATTATCTCTGTCGACTCACCGTATTACAATAAAATCGATTGTTTGTAAACGTCTATTTTGCTATATACAATTTTATTTTCTCAAGTCTGCTCTTTCAAAAAAAAAAAAAGACTTGCGAGACATAAAGCTCTTGCTCAATTAGGTTTGAAGTAATAATGTTGTCTCGTTATTTGTGGCATTAGTGTAACATTTAAGCAAATGTCTAATTTTTAGATAACTGAACGTTTTGGCAGCGTCTCTTTTCTAGAAAACGAGTAAATTTTAATACACTCGGTAAACAAGTCTATTTGTACAAGATAAATTAAATGTTTATAAATTAACACCAGTAGTTTTCTAATTAACTAAGACTGTCCGTCGAGCGATACGCCCATGCCATGCTTGCGATACCAACGAGATAGCTGGTAATGTTAAACAGACATGCAATGAGACCGGTTGTAGCCAACCACTTGTCGAGATTGTTTTCATCGTTGAATAGATCTTTCCAGGTCACAACCCAAAGCGAGATGCCAGCTAAGAGATTATAAAGTAAATAAAGAAAACCTTGCTTTAACCATACAAAATCGATTCTAATGCCCGGCAGATCTACGGCTGCATCAAGTGGATCAGAGTCGGGCCATATTGAAGTGACCAATGTGAGGTAATATTCTTTTCCTATTGATAAATACGCATATATAATGTAAGTACATATTTGACTGGCTGTTATTTTTAGCACACCATATTTGTTGGTAGTACTGTTACCTAAAAATATTCCCAGAAAATTGTTTATTGTAAATGTTGCAGAATAATTTCTGGCTGTAATGTATACGACTAACAGACGTAGCATAGACTCTACTGTACACCAGGCAATTAGAGCCGGACGCTTTTCTGCCTGAGAATCCTGTCAGTGGAAATCAATGTGATATGTTAGAATCTTTACTTTGATATTGATGTCAATATGTCATCATCGACCGTTTATACGTTACTTTTACCAGTAAAATTAATATTATTATTACGGCTGACATTAACATAGTATTGACAATTAGAGCTAAATAAAAACTTATGAGAATGCATGGCGAGACATGATCTGTACGTCGACTACTACTACTACTATTGTTATTTGCTTCCCCGGTTTCTGTAGTCGTGATAATATTTGCTGCTACTGCTAGTGTTGCGGGCAATTGCTGGGAAGTCGACATGTTTAATATTGAGTGGAAGGTTACAAACAAAATAGAGTTAGGAGAGATTTAGTAGGAGAAAAATTCACGTTGTCGTTTGATAAATTTCATGTTATATACCAGTGATAAACCTGCTTTTTGTCAGTTGACTATCTGTATTTGTACGATTATTAATATCACGTGACTATCAATAAACTATTTTTAATTGAGGTAATGTCATTTTGTAATACTATCGCCGATCACCTGCAAATAGTTTGCTTATTAATAGGCTGTGCCAATTACGTAGCAGAATTCAAACACGATTCAATGCAGTTTTTTTGTAGATGAACCAACCTCTGCTTTACGTACAAATATGAGTAATATCAGGTTTTTACTCTTTACATTGCCAATAAAGTCATGTTTGGTTTTGCCAGATTACGATGTATGACAGACTTTACTGTATGCACATGTTATTTTGCAAAAACGACACTGGTTACATGTTACGTATTATCTCCATCGAATCGTTACAGGCAGAACAAACAAATCAGCACTTGCACCATCAAAAAAACAAAGCTCCTTTTCGTTATAAAAAGAAGAAATATTTTAAAAATAAGTAACGAATATAAATCTTGCGTTTTATTAAAACGAAAACAATGAACGGCTTTGTGGTTGTGTCGTCCAATAATTCAAGATTTGTGTAGCCTCAATTTGATATGTCCCATGTTTGACCTAATGAAACTTAATACATTCCCTCCCCGATGTTTGCAATACAACAGTGTGTAGCAAATCTGTAATGCATTCATTACAGTCAGGGGTATTTCCAAATTTGGAAATGTATAACAGAATTCTAAAAATGAAGATTGTAGACGAGCTATTGTTCTTCCAGAATAATGTTTAGCGATTATCCTTTTCCCAAACGGATATGATTCAGCGATAAATCAAAGATGTGTGTTACATGCTTCGTTTTCATAATGGATCACAGAAACACCGAGCTGGCCAAAAGTTTGCCGTGTTACAATTCTCAAAGTCTATAAAACTGACTCCGATACGAAAGATAACCATTGTTTATAACTCGTGCATACGTTGGGTTCGGCAGGGGTACTTGATTTAATGCTCTCAAAGTCAACAAACGCCACCAATACTAGAAAGTCTTGGTTTTCTCCCTCTCTTTTTTTTTGTATAAACTCGATTGTATGCTTTTCAATAATCATCTAGGAAGTCAAGCAATACAAATAGATAAAAAAAAAACACCGAACAGTTCTTTTTGATGTAGCATGTTGTCATTTTCATGCTTGGGTTGAAACTTTAGCTAATGATATTTCGCTGACTTTTGGTATATTCATTGACAAGGAACAGAACAGAACGAATTTTTGGCCTTCTAGTATTAGAGAACTGTCCTCGTGCTGTATGTCTTAAAGAATGATTCTGTCATGTGATAAATCGTCATTAAATTTTTCATGTCAGATTTCGAGGACGCTTATGTTGCAAATTTTGATAACACTAAAATTATACTCGTTATAATTTGTGTTCTGTATAATTTAATAACTTGTTATCAATGATGACTGAGGCAAACTTCGACTATTATTGCTTGATTAATTCGATAGCAAAACGGGTAATGATCTGGTTTCGCGCAACAGCAGGTTGTAAAAACTGACTGCTATAACACATTCTTTGTATAAACTAATCGTTGTTTACACACATACTTTATTTTTATTTGATGGACAACGAAAAAGATTAAATAAAGCGGTTTGTCTGCATTACATCTGACATCGTTTACTTGAAAGCAAAATGGTAACGTTCTAACTCAACTCGTAGTTATGGGAAGAGAAAATATTGTTATTGATAGAAGCGAAAACTATTGACTGTATTTTGTACCTATGATAAAAATATGTCAAAGTTCTGGTCCGAGACTACTAAGTCCGGAGTGATCAAACCGTGCGACAGATCCAAAGTAAGACATAAAAGTCTACAATGCTTTTTATTGTAATGTAAGCAGTTAGGCAAAAAAGTAGAAGTTGGTTCCATCCTACTAATGTTTTTATTCAACTCTATAAGTTAATTTATTATATTCGATTCTCCAAATTTTATAAATTGTTTTTGTGGATGTAATCTAACTGAGACCGAAAACGTATGAGTCACAACATTATTAACTTTTATTCTGCAAACATACACATTATGAATTCGTTTAAACATAATTTTTCGCAGCAAACGATTATAAAATTGTCAAGTTACAACGTTTGTTGTAAAACTTTTAGTTTACAAAAGCAAAGCGAAAATCTTATGGTAGAACCAGATCCATACTACTACGTTTATGAATATTAGGCCCCTTCTTTACGAGAGTCGTTTTCAGGAGGCTTTAGAGCAAAATTGTATTTACTATTCTTGCTTCGAGCTGACTGGTTATAGTATCGAATTTCTTACAGTACGCTAACCAAGTTTTAAGACAAAATCTAACGAGGTTTCAAGTTGAGTGGACAACAAAGTCGGTTATCGGTTACAGAATAATAGAAATTGTTTTCGAGCCATTGCTGTGACAGCCTCGGGCACTTTGTTAATGTCCAATAAAATTGGAACAATAAGATAATTTTGTGCAACGCGTATTAAAAATACATTCTTTGTGTTTATTTACACAAAGTCACATGGACGTTCCACCGTTCATATTACTGTTCACAGCTGTTGGCAAAGCGATTTTCGAATTTGCTACAATTGCTTGAGACCCACTTGTTAACGGCAAGAAAACTAAGATTTTTTTTCATTATATACATAGTATCAGTGCATAGTTGGAGCAATGTTTTTTTTCAATAGTATTAAGGGGTTTGTTCATGACGTTATACTATATTTGAGCATGGACAAAGAGAATCAACATACGTCATATCACGGAGTAGCTGAACGAGGAGATGCCAGTGCTCAATATAATCTTGGTCAGTGTTATGCCAATGAAACTGGAGTAGAAAAAGATGAACAAGAAGCAGTTGAACGGTATCAAAAAGCAGCTGAACAAGGAGATGCTCATGCACAATTTAAGCTTGGTAACTGTTATAGACTTGGAACTGGAGTAGAAAAAGATGGTCAAAAAGCAGTTGAATGGTATCAAAAGGCTGCTGAACAAGGATATGCAAATGGTCAATCTAATTTTGGTTGGTGTTATTTGAATGGAATTGGAATAGAAAAAGATGAACAAAAAGCGATTGAATGGTATAAAAAGGCTGCTGCACAAGGATTTGCCAATGCTCAATCTAATCTTGGTTGGTGCTATGCTAATGGAATTGGAGTAGAAAAAAATGAACAAAAAGCAATTGAATGGTATCAAAAAGCAGCTGAACAAGGATATGCCAATGCTCAATCTAATCTTGGTCAGTGTTATGCCAATGGAACTGGAGTAGAAAAAGATGAACAAAGAGCAGTTGAATGGT